AAGTCAATATAGATGGTGATTAGGAAATATTTAGCCACGGTTGATATAAGATAGGTCAAATTAAACGTAGACTAGCAGATTAAACTGTAACTGAAGGAAATCTAGTGAAATTTATGTTTTATTATTATTATTTTTTGGTTTATTCATGCGGAAACTTAAATCTTCGTACTTTGTATTGACAGAAGAAACCAATATGTAGTTGGGTTGTGATTTTGTATTCCAATTTAAAATATTTATTGGGTTATTACTGTAACTTCGGATGCATTATCTGAACCAGTAATTTTAAATGGTTATTTCGATAATATTATTTTATCATAAGGGGTTTTGTGGAGGTTTCAGTATTTTCATAGTTGAAATCATGAGTCAATTGAAGCTAGACCACTATGGAAAACCTGGAAGCACTAGACGACCGTTTTGTCCTATTATGGAACTCCTCAGCAGTATTATTATGATGAAGCTTGCATTAGAAAGACGAAAAATCTGATACACATTAATTAAACGTTTTGAACTTAGTTTCATTAAGTTATGATTTTTGCCCTACATAACGAGTTGGTTGAAGTTGGATATTGACGGATTTCCTGTAAACTGAGAAATAACCATATCCTCACTAGTGATTAATTCTGGGAAACATTTGCCGGAGTTCTGGTGAGATGCTATGACCAGATGAGTCCAAACGTGTTGGGTGTGAGATAGTTGGTCACCAGTTGCACTGTAAGATGTTTCCCAATATCTTCAGTTGATCGAAATTTGACACGCAAGTCATTCGATGATAGCTCAGTGGTTTGAGGATTAAGTGCTTATATTGGACACGAAGACCCTGTATTCGATCTTCGGTGGGATTGTGAATATGCTCCACTGAAGAGTCTCATGATAGGACGAAATAACGATTCGTTTATATAAACTATATAGCTAGTTCTATTCCGAATCAGCTGTTAAATAATATCGTGTTCTATGAGCGACTTGAAGGTTCTAAGTTCAAGTTAATGTACGGTAATGGGTGTACATAATTTTAAACTAAAATGAAAATGCTTTCCACTGACCCTCGATTCTCAACTAAAATCATCTTTAATTTATAAGGAAACAAATACAACTACTATAGTCTCCCTTAAAATTTCAAATCTTTAACTTATTTGATATGATGATGATTTTTGATAAATCTTTTGTGACTACGAAAGAACATTTTGGAGATTTCTTTTAAACCTGAACCGAGTAATTCATTTTTATTAAATTATAATTCTGGAATAGAGGGCTAATGTGTAGCAAATTAAATTAATATTTTAACACAAGGATTGTCAATAATAGAAGTTTCGTTTAGTTCGAAAATGGTATACTATTGAAGTATATAATCATTAACATTTCCATCTTACGATACATTCGTTTCATAGTCAATCACTATATTTTCTGGAGCTTATTGATTTACGGTAGGAGTTACAAGTTAGATAAACAGTACTAAATTGATACTCTGTAAACTTATATACTAAAACCACGTAATTTGAGCCAAATGAAAAGTCCTGGAGTTGAGAGAAAAAATGAACTACAGCCTCACAAACATATTATGTATATGGGCACATATCTAATTATTGAGATACTTTTTTTATAATCCAGTAATTTATTAATTGAAGCTTTTGAATAGAAACATATATATATTCAAAAACAAAAAAATGAAATGGTATCGGTAAGTTTCTTCCTACCATTTTTTATTAAAAAATAACTCTAACTCACTTAGTATTGTTTGTTTGGATCTTCCCATCGATGTGTTTAGGACTGCAACTGGTCAGTCTCTAATTGGCATATGTGCATACTGTGCGTATTGCCTCGATATACCTTAATCCATCTCTGCTAACCAAATAACTCTAACGTTTAATATAAATAACTTACAGTTATCTAAAGCATTTGGCGTAATAAATAACTTAAACATTCAATATAAACAAACTATATTTGAAGCAATTTAAAAATGCAAGCTACTAAAAATTTCTTTCAAGTTTTAAACTACTCATGAGTAAATCAGTGTTATATCAAAAATCTGCACCTCATTTATGACATTTTCCGTGGTGAAACATGTTCTAGATAGTGGCGTTTCGTCCTACTTGAGATTCGTCAACTGGATGAACCTGTACTCGTGTTAATACCACGGCTCTAACCCAGTGCTTGCCCTTTAAATACCCAACGTGTACTTCACTAACCTACTGAATTTAAATACTGGCTTGTACGACAGGGTCAATTTTAATTCATTTATAAGAGTTGTTTGAACCTTCTTGTTGATCTTAAAGATTGAAATTAATCAGTCGCTTTTGGCACATGGACATCCTGTGTGGATTGCCTCGATATTGTCACTGAGTCACAAGCACTTCAAGCGTCCTGGACTCCACTGCTACACACCAACCAACTCTGCTTAAAATGCTTATGACTTAATCGGAATATCGAGGCGATTCGCGCAGGATATAAATACTCTAGAAGAGATCAATTGACTTCAGTTCATAACAACAATGCGAAGATTCAAACAACCCATAAAGATAAATTAAAGTGAATTTTGCTTACACAATAAATTGGTCGTTCATTTATCGACCGACCTATAAATTTAATTTCAAAACCTTCCAAACCAAGGACAACAATTATAGCAGAATATCATAATTTACAGAGGACTTTTCTCAGTTAGAAAATCACTAAAACCAGAAATTACTGAACCAAATATGTTTACCACGTTTTTAAAATAATATTGATTGAAACAATCGCGAGATGATTCCAAGTTATTCAGAGTCAAAGTTTGTGACGATCTTTTACAAGGCTGATTATTTACGTGAAGACTTAATGTTTTAAATCAAAACGATGAAAATAAAAGATGTAGACTAAAAGTTTGTGAAAAATAAATGTCGTGGATTACAATTTTGTAAATCAGAATGATAGGTTGATTCGTCAAGTAATTAAAGGGTTTAAAATATGAAAGGGAAAAAAGATTTCTGTATAGATCTTAAGAATAAAATACATGAAATATTAGACAAATGGATGGTCGAAATTGAGATCGTCAACGTTATGTGACATGACATTTTGATGCCGTTAGCTTCAAAAAACAACTTTATAAGTATAGGCTCTTACTTATTGTTTGTTATGAAACGTCAATGTCATAACAGTTAGGTATCAAGTGACGGACGATAGCATTGTTGAATTCATGTGAACTTTTTAGCTGTATTTGTTAGATATGCTCGAAAATGTTAACAAGAATCAGCTTTTATCTTACACAGTTATGTGCTTTGGGGCATATCAGCGAACACGGCGGGCAACAATCAAAGTTAGATAAATTGCTAGTGAAACTACCAGGATTAATATCCAAACTATGAAATCCAAGATTTGCGTGTCATTCGATTCAGTATTATGTAGTAAAAATGACTGTAATCAAGTGGGTTACATTTCATTATTGAGAGAATTAGTTACATGATTCTAATATTAGCGAAAACAATAAAGTTTAGAAGGATATATCGATCTAATACAGACAAATTTGTAGTCAGGTGGAAAGTTTTTTGTCTCGGACACTACCATCACGCAGTACTATTGTGGGGTTATTATTGCCAGTCCCTTGTACAAATTTTATAATTTACTTGTTACATTCTCACCAGCAGACTAACATTGGAATATTTGTGAGATGGTATGAAGAATATCATCCACAAAGTTTTCATTACCTTTTAAGCGCAAGTTAATTTTCTTGTCTTTTGAACACTTAAAATTAATTTAATCTAGGTATGGAAGTGTGTACCTAATATAAAATCAGGTAGCCCGTGCACTGAGTAAAACTATAAAGACAAACTGTTCCTGAATGGTTTCTAAGGCGGCCAATCAGAATCAAAACCGATTCTGCTCGGTGATTGACGTGTTTTCAACGATAGAGAGAACTGAATATTTTCTTTGGAGAAAATACTGTAAGTTATCTAGTTGAGAAAGGCTTAATGTTAACACTATTTTTCATAGAGCGGTTATGATGACAGTTACCTTTAACGAATGCCTAATGTGATGCGATTTTGTCATGAAGACCAACGGAGTAAAAAGCTCTCAAGAATCAACCTTTAACATCGTATGGTAAACGACATCCATCTAGTCGTGCGTTGGTAATAGTATTTCAGTGGATTGTTGGACGATAGTCAAATGAAGCAGTTGCATTTGATAGTGATTGTAATTACCTTGATACATTTTCTACGAATATACCTTTAATTACTAATTTATCGAATCATTTATCCGGTCAAGGGATATCTAATGACGTTATTTTAATCATATATCTGGGTAAAATCGTTTGTTTCTTACTTTATCATTATATCAAATGATTTACAATTCCCGACATGTAGTTAAGGCTCGCTTTGTCACATAATTCACCTGAAGTGAGGTGAACAGTGAAGTCTATACGTCATCAAATTTTCCTGCTGCAGACGGTAGGTATATCACGAACAATAAGTTTTTTTACAGCTTCGCTCATCTCCGAAATAACATACACTCCCAAGCCTGATAATGGCGCATTTCAGACACATAAGAGAGCCCACTCTCTACGAACCAACTTATTCCATGTAGAAAATTTATGAGTGTTCAGCCAGAAATGTTTACAAGTCATTGTTTATGTGGTAGAGCTACAGAGAGAGCAATGTTGAGGTGCTTAGCTTTTCCTTTCCCATACTGTTTTGATAGTTGACTTGTTTCACTACTACATTGTGAGGATTTCAACAAATGTTATCACATGGAACTTTCGGCAACACAAGAATAATCCCTTACAAATACCAGACATAAGGTTTTCTTTCAACAATTATGGTTTATAAGACGTCCCACCTGATAATTCGCTTGCTTAAACATTGATTTCGGACCAATGACCGGGATTTGATACCAAAACACCCTGGGAAGCATTAACAGGTTTGAGTACATATTATTAGTAAAATGCCTGTATCTGCAGTTACATGATGACCCTATACATGAGTCGAACTTTCCATGTCATCCGGTAAACAAACTAGTCATCAAGAAACGCCTCAACTAATTGTGAAACTATTAGTAGATTGGCACTCACTAATCAGTTTCTTTAATATGAAGGAAAATAACATCACTGAGTTAGGAGAACAAACATACAGCTCCAGAACAATTGTTAAGACCTTGGTGAGCGGATTAGGGCTCTGACAAGAGATACGATTGTCAGACAGATTCCAAGTTTTCTAACGATCCAATTCCTTTGCAATCAAACAAACAAGTTAGCAGATTTGGTAGTAAATTCGTAACTTACAATTGTTGAGAATGGTACGAGTTAAGAAGAACTACAAAGTTTGTCGTGCATGTTTAAGAATTAATGGGATTAAATAATATAAACACACAACTATGAAGTCTATTGACAGCCAGCTCGACTCGTGAAGGCAAACAAACTTTCGATAATATGTTCATCAAGAAGAGAAATTCGTGAGTAAGGATTACAGTCAAACAACTTAAAACTGGATGAAACAAGAGCGAAGCGTCCAATATTTAACTGCTTTGTGTATGCTTGATTTCTCTTGACCTGCTAATTTTTTGTCCTAGAAAAGCGTTCCTTTTGATTGCCTAATCCACCCCATTTATCATATTACAAGAAAAAAAATTTTTCGTTCGAATAAATGTATGTAAAAGTACAGTGTGAGGAGGGGAAGAGAAATCGCAAGGATTAATGTACAAAATGGGAATAAAGTAGACTCAAAATACGGTGATAAAATTCAACTTATGCCAAGGGGTTATCTCGGTCAGTTAAAGTTAGTTCATTCTCTTCGATAGATGTAAAGTTTAAAAAGTGTGAAGGTCTATGAATACGATGATAAAATTTCTTCGGTTTGAGAGGTTGTAATTCGTACTTCATATTAGGATCATGACGCACACCTATTAAATGAAAAAAATTGAAACATTATCGGCAATAAGATTAATTTGAAAAGAAATTGAATAAAATCGTTTGCTAGGTACTTGGATATGCGTCACATTCTAAGTATGAGGGCTAATGATAATTTTCGGTTGCTCAAAGCGAAAGGAGAGGGAGTTTTAACCTCAGACTTAGCGGTCGAAAGTCGAGCGCATTGACTACTAAGCCATCGCTTCACATCAGATTAATAAACCAATCGAAATCAGTCATAAAATATCAAATGATCACACATAGTGAATGAAGCAGATTAAAATGAAATTTAGTATCACCCCAAAACTTTGCTGATAACTTACCCATAAAGTTGTAGTTCCATGATGTCTGAGGCGGTACCATAAAGAAACCCAAAAATCTATCCGATAGTAACATTTGTACTCTTTCATAATGGCTTGGCATATAACCCTTTGGATTGATACCTTTGTCAGTATTTTGCCTACCCCATTCATAGCCACCAGGAGTCAGTTTATGTGCACAAAGTGATACCGAACCAGGAGTGAAGCTACATGTTATGACGATGGTCTTTTCTCCATCTTGATCGGAGAAGATCTTTGCATGGGTAGTAATATCCTAACATGGGAAAAACAATTATTATTAATAATATAATTATTAGCTTTATTCAATATTATATTTTGGTACAATATAGAATTCTCAGCACAAGGTATTTCAACAAGTTTCTTTTACCAAAAAAAGATTTGAATCTGTGCAACTTTTCAATTAGAAACATGTTTAAGAATACAGGTTATTGACTAGGTGAACTCTAACAACCTGTTCGTCATAAAGTATATTTGTTAGAAAAGGTATTATAGAGCTTCTATACTTTTGTTTGTGAGCATGGATTTCAATTTATTGGTGTCTCCTTCTACCAGAAGATATACAAGGAAAAAGATGTGAATGAAGTGGATGGTTAGTATCTGATAAGATAATACCTGTCTGGAGTTTGTGAGACTTTAGACGTCTATCCACATTATTTATTTATTTAAACACATACATATTGGTACAAAGGGGCACCAGATACATATGCGCCACACAATCATATTAACAATGACCTCAAGAGATTCATCATACACTCTGCTAACTACCTTTTGCACTCTCCGCAATACAGCAAAGTCTTTTCTGTAAAGCACGGAAAGAATAGTGGATAACAGTAAAGAATAATAGGTAATATGAAAGAATTGACAAACTATAAGAGTAATCCCCAAACCATGCAGCCTCTTTATATGGTAAGACGGAAAATTTCCTTCGATAGCAGTAAAACATGAGAAGACCAAGAGAGATCAGAGGGAAAACTTACATCACGATAAATGACTTTTGAAACTGTGTAATCAAAAAATCTCCAACAGTTCAAGATTTATGGTGCTGTTCATGTCTGAATCTTAAGTTAACAGTCTGACATTTAGATGGATTAAGTATAAGACCGTTTACAACAGACCACCATTCAATACGAGACAAAAACTCATTCATTTCAATGGTTCTTAAAGAGGTGGAAATTGGCATATTTCACAAGTGTTTTCTGTGGAAGATGGCAGACTATGCAGAAAAAAGAGCTCCTTGTGGCACACTTTCATGGGATAATAGAGACATTGAACATTTTCCTCCGAACACAGTATACGGTTCTATTTCAGAGAGATAGGAAGATAGTTAGTTATCCAGCTGTCAGTGTTGACTAACTTGTTTGGTAACAGTTGTTTTGGGAAGATATCAAGTATGGTCCAGAAAGGTGCATCGAACACACTTAATACCCTTTTTCCAAGCTGAAAACCATATTATGATGCAGAACAACAACAGCATTCAAAGTGCTTCTTTTGCACTTGTAAGCAAACTGATACGGATCGATGTGCTCTTTCAGTGCAGGTTGAAGTGGGAGTACCAATAATTTTTTCATTGTTCTGAGGAAAGGTGAAGTCATTGCTATGGGTTTAAATTTCACATTTTTATCGCCTAAAGTATTGAGGTTATCTTTATCTTTGTTTACATTTTCGGTATGAGATTAGTTGAGGAGGATCTGTTAAAGATGATCGTGAACAGATAACATAGAAACGTCAGAACACTTTATAAGACAGAGGTTTAGGATTTCAACAGGTCCTAAACATTAGAACGGATGAAGTGACAGGAAATATTTTCGGACATCAGTTTTGGTGAAACTAGGAACACAATCATTCTTCAAACCTGTGGATATAGGGAGTATGACGTCAGATGATTGACATACAAAAGACTTATTTAAGTCACAAACATTCAGCTGGTTATTGCTTCTAATCTGCCTGTCCCCTGTAAGTTCTTTAGAGACTTTTCCCATACTTGGAGTTTTTACAAGATAGAAATTTCTGAGCAAATATAGAGTTGAGACGTCTAATCTCTAGGTTTACTTGAACATTTAGTTTAAGACCTTCAATAGTGTTTTCCTCCTTGTACATTCTTTTTTACCCTCCGTAGTCGTTTTAGTTGTGGAGATGTAAATCGATCAAAACTTCAAAAGAAGGTTTTAGTAGGACAGCAAATATCAAAACAGAATTTAAAATAACAGGTGATAACATCAGTGGTGTTTTTCAGTGAGTCATCTGTGAATAATTCCCAGTTAGTCGTGCGAAACATAGTTTCCAGATTTTGTATATTTTCTTCTGAGTAATTGCTGTATTTGACTTTCTTTATCTGGTGTAGGGATGTACTCTTTGCATGCTTACCAAATAACTCAGGTAGAATACAAATTATACGATAATCAGAACTAGACCATGAAGCATGTTTACGAGTCACATATATTCCCACATCATTGATGAAAACTAAATCTAAATGGACATTCAAACGAATGGGAAAATCTATTGCATTTTGGTGATCTAGTGATGTAAGAAAGCTACAGTTACATGAATTTAAATCACCACATACAATTTAAAGTGAACCACTGATGGCAGTAACAGCAAATTCATCAGAGGAAATAGATAGTGAAGATGATGTGCAATCTGAAGTCAAGTAGATGTTAGTAAGATAAACATATTTGTATTTATTCAAGTGTTTTGGACGGCTTTTTAAAGTTAAATAGTTGAGAAAGTCATTTGAAAACTTGGAACATGTAAATGTAGATCGACAACAGTTCACGTTTACAAACGTAGCTACACCGCCGCGACGTCTTTTTATTGTTTGATCGGTCCTGACGATAGATATTGAAATCACGTAGTGATACTAAGCAATCGTCCGGTAAATCAGTTAACTAAGATTCTTGAATTGTGATAGCACCACAATTACGATACATGTTTTGACTTAGTAGGAATTGAAGATAGTCCGCCTTGTTAATTGGTGATAGGCAGTTAAAATTTAGCAGCTCAGGAATCGACATTAGATTAATGTTCATTCTCTTCAATGCATATTGCCAACAACGATGTATCTGATTGCACTTTTTCGTAAATTGTACAGCGAAAGGTCGTAAAGTTTTCATAAACGCGCCTGAATAGGTTATGAGATTAATCGACATAATGAGGTGTTAAAAAAATAAAGAACAGATAACTTGTTGAAATATTTAGATGGCAGAAACAGGCTGCCACGTGAAAGCTGTAAGCATTCAGGATTATACAAGAGTTTAAATCAGGATGTACAAACATAGCAAAACAAATACTTGATGAAGTATCATACACAGAAATAGCAGGATATTAAACGTACTTTTCAAGGAAGTCACCTACATACAACCTTGTCGTCCATTAATTGTAATGGCGCATACACAGAACCACACTCTTGTTTACCAAGATTATGATAGTCAATATGGACAGAGTAATGAGAGTAAGGCCGTATACATCGACACAATTTTTAACATTGTTAGATGGAGAATTATTACCCAAATGCCAAATAAAACTTACTTGAGGTGATAACTGTGGTAATTCATTTGGTTGAGTGTGAATCCAACCAAGTGGCTCCATTTCTTTCAAATACTCATCTTGTGGTAGCCCATTAGGTAAATGAACAGTCTGATGAGTACCCCATTGCGGTGGCATTACAATACATCGAATTTCTTTAATTTGGGAATTATCAGCAGGCGAAATACCATATAAGTAGCCTGCAATCTAAATTAAATAAAAGAACCCAATTAACTTGAATGAATCAAATGTATAATCCTGTTTCATAAAATCCACAAAAATGAAAACTTACTTGAGTTCGTAAATCTGATATGGTTATAAATTTCTTCAAAATATTTTTAGGTAAAATATATGTGTAGCCATTCTCTTTAATATCATCTGAACTGACATATATATTGTTTGTCCGAAGGTACAAATTCGTTGCTGAGATAGCACGAACGCGCCATTCCGTCTTACTGCTGAAATGGAGGGTTTCGTAGTTTGATGTTGTAGTTGAGATGATTTCATCACCATGTTTGTTGACAGTTCTTGTTGTAGTTGCCGTAAGCTGAGATTGTTCTTTAGCCTGTTTTTCAATATCGGCTATTTGCTGACGTTGTTGTGATGGGGCAGAAATCTCCATACCCAAAATAATATCTCGTATCTCCGACTGAGTTAAAGAAGCCACATTAACACTGAAAAGTGAAATAAAGTTTTAATCTATGTAGGTCTAGACGTAACGCATTTATAATGTATCACCTATGATAGCGATAGTGATTGTAATCTCGAGTGGAACTGAATGATCCCACCATGTCTACAAACTCAAGAGGAAATTTCTTAGATATACTTTTGGGGAATCTTTAAGTAATTAATATGTTCTGAACACGTACATTAGGAAAATAGAAAAATAATATGAAAAATCTAGTGAGTTTATCGATAGATGTAGAACGGAGCACTATGCTAGTTCATGGTACAATTTAGCGCTACTTAATCGAAAATGGTTACCGAAAACTGTGATTACTATGTCGCCATTTTGTGAGCAAATGATTAACACCACCACCAAATAGACCCACTGAACGAAGTAATTTGTTTTAGGTTACCATGTGACTTCTTTTCGACGATTACAAACCGTAGACCAGTGTAACATATTTACTCGAACAGCAAACCATATACAGACACTAGTTACGTATAGTTACTTGGTATGAATATTACAACTTTTAATCGTTAAATCAAAGCCCATAATCTCAAAATCAATACAGAAAATTTTTAAATGGTTTCTAGACCCTAAATACTATATCACCATCAAAAAACACTTACAATAACTTCTTACGTCAATGATTTGACTTGGAATAGTTAATAATAGAAACTTACTTGTTTTTCTTTCCATAGTCAGCTAAAATAAGGTCTTTCAACTGATATTCTACTTTGATCCAATCATCTGAACTAAGGGATGGCCAAATATGATGGGGTTCAGTGATTGTTGTTTTGTCCGGTTTAAGCACAATTTTAGCCTTATCATTATTGACATGCAAAGCACGTAAAATTAAAATTAGACGAGAAAAAGCTGTGTAAGAGCTGATAGATTTTAGCCAATCATCATACAAATTGAATAAGACCATTTGTGGCTCTGATGCCTTTAATATAAGATCTCCAAACTTTTCGACTTTTAGGCACGCTTGGAAAGGCAGTTGAAGCTCGGAACCCTGGAATATGAAGACAAAATCTTTTATAAACAAGGAGAGCTCATTAAACATCTATTATCATTGAAAATGATCATAGCCATTCTGCACGAAGAAATCTGACTACCAAACTCAACACATCTTTGATTTCCTAAGTAACAATAAGCTGTGTAATAAATATGCAATATACTGAAAATGAGACTATTGAAAACACGTTCTGGTAAATAATTACCCAAAACTGTTAGGCGATAGTGGAATCTCAGAAATAATTTGATAATATATATAGGTGTAAGTACGTACAATAGATGAACATCAATGTCTCAAAAAACGTAATACATATTTTTCACTACGAATATAAACTTCTGACGAAATGAAGAATGCTTTGAAATTAGATTGAGCAAACTAAAAATAAAAGAAACGGATAGGCAACAAGAGCAAAAAATGCCGACCATTATATCTCCAACGATTACCTTCTTTAAAAATTAGCACACATATACAAAATAGCTGAGATTATTTGTTATAAAGTGATTTGATGATGTTTCGTATAAAATTATAGGAGAACAACGCTGAAAACATCGACCGATCTAAAGACAACATATGTGATGTTTCGAGTTGATACATATTAGGATATAGCTACCAATTTAAGTGACTATGACGACAGGGAAAATACTATACATACTACTGAAGTTAGATCTCATGAGTTTAAAATATTGAAAAGAGTTTGTGTATACTCAAACTATACCTTTATAACAATATTAGGGAAATCAAGAAGATGCACTTCCAGAGGGTCCAACATTCCTTTGCGAGTAACAATGATTTGTTTTGGTTGTTCTTCAACTGGCAAGGAACGGATGAGTGCAGCAACTTCTTCTGCTGTTTTCCATTTAGCCAACTGACCTAAACGTTTTTGTCCTGCCCAAACTGAAGTGTGGATTATCTTTAAGAAAAGCTGCCCTGTGCGTGGGTTGAAAATGAATATAGCACCATTGATAGGCTTAGTCGTAAGATTGCCTTCAAAAGTCTAAAAAATACATTATTTAGATATTTAGAAAACGAAAGACTATCATAGTTTAAATTTTACGCTTTCTATTATTGATTTTATCAGTAATAAAGCATGATAAAACTAGTATCTCATATTGATGAATAGTCACAAAAAACCACATGAGAACTATATTGAGTTTAAAAAGTTTTATAATTGAAAAGTTGGTAAATAAATCTGCGAGACCTTGACAACTAAATTACATCCATCGTAGCAGTTCGCATACTAAAACTGTTCAAATACACATTCGAAAGATTTGTGGATATGGAATACAAATAGCCCTCTATGTATTGACGAGGTCAGATATAATGGTAAAGCAAGAATCAAGTGCGCAAACAAGTTTTCCATTGTTATTTATTTTTATTAACATTATTAATTATCCAGAAGTCATAAATCCTGAAAAAGCTTACACTGAATATGATAACGACTGCACATAAACTATAATCTTTTGACATGCTTAAAAAAACTTATAAAAAAATATCTGAACTTATTATAGAAGAAATAAAACTGGAAGCTTGATTTAATTAAATAAAAACGAGAATTGCGGCATATGAAAAACAGCGATTCAACTACAACTCACTTTATGTATAGTGACGCGATATACATTTGTATCATCAACGAACCATATAATTTGGTTGGAGAACAATTCGTTATAGTTTTGTGAACTCAAATAAGGTTCAGTAGGTTCGCTAGAGTATAACTGTAATGCTTTACGAATGCGTTCACGTAACACGTATAAAGCAGGATTGGCCTTCATTATTTTTACCATAGCTTGTTGTATGAGTGGTTTACAGCCAGGGAACCAATTTCCATAGGCACTAAATGAGAGTAATTAAATAATAAGGAAGAAATCTAGAGACAAAAGTTATTAAGATGAACAACTATTATTATTTGATTGAAAGAACAATTCGTGTTTCCCCAAAAGTGAACTATACTTACAAAAACAAGAAAAACTTATGGAATCAAAATTTTCATTTAATTTATAGGATGTTGAATAAATTGTCTATTAATTTATTAGAATCTGATTAATCGACCATGTAAAAACTTAGCTTACAACAAAAGTGACATGTTACAAGTGCAGCAAATAAGAAAAGTATCAATCTGACACAGTAACTGATACATTACCTCCGTTAGTTTACACATTTCAGAAAGATATGATGAATAAGTGACTCAGATGAAAAATGTAACAACTATTCCTACATATACTTATGTTGATACATACATTCCTCCTATTATTGTGTCTTACACTAGTTTTTCTGTAAGTAGTGCATAAAAGATGAATATCATTGCAACCAATTTTAAGAAATGTTAAGTATAAGTAATAATATCGACTGGAAGCTGACTTTCTGAGAATGTTTCAAATTTTGAAAACCCGTTTAAACAGGAAATAATGGGAAATAAGTAGATTACCTTTCTTAAACAATCAGGTGAAACAATAATAGCAGTAACCATGATTTTTGCAGAAACATTAAGCTTATGAAAAACAGCTTAAGTAGTTATGTCAAGCTAAGCTTACCTATGCAGATTGTAAGCGAGATCAATCGCAATCATGACACCAGTTGGAGAAGGGTATATGGACATGTTATCAGTGGTATAATCCAGGAATTTTGCTCTGGCGTAACGCTCAATATCATGGGAATCATAATCACCCCATCTGAGCTGAATATCGATCCAAAACTTTTGAGTGGTAGTTCCATCCATAAGGTCTCTGTAAAGGCCGGTAAAAGAAAGAACTATAACGTTTTTGGTGTAAGGAATCTTTTGACTTGAAAACCAGGTTACTTTCGAAAATATAAATAACATCGAAATAGAATGTCATATTGTTTCAATTTTCACTAACACCTGGTATATGAATTTAAATATCGGTAGTGTAGTAAGCACATTTGCATTGCTTTATTTGTCCTCGTATGTGATGTAAGGGTGGGATAAGTATATTCCGTATAATTTTTTCTATTCAATGCTGATCATAATATTTGGGGATGGAATATAATTATGACTCACAGGTTATCATATCAGGACATTAATAAATTGGTTATCTATGATAAGTTAATAAAAAACTCAGTGGTTATTTCGACTGTTAGTTTGCTCAAAGTCGGACTACTAATCAGTCTCAGGTCAGTATAAAAACGCCGCGTTAAGACGACGTTTTTAATTTACTTCTGGTATAAAATGAAATCTACAACTTTTCGTCCTATTCTTCTTTCTGATGTCAATTCGTACATACTTGTATGTTTACTGAGTGGACGAAGTAACACTGCAAGTATTGGATATATATCGTTTGGATAATTCGAGTCCCGTTCGACTTCATGTTACTAAGCACAATTACAAACTCATAAGTACATTTTTACTGATAACAAACATCAAGTCATATCACAACGATAACTGAAAGTATAAATTTAACACAATCTTTGAAATTATATACCTCAGTAATAAATCCTGGTAGTACGAAACAGTACTTTTTAACAGATCTAGTTATTCATATCTAGAACAAGATTATACACACTATATAATTTATATATTGAATTTTGAAGTAAAATTAGTGTATCTTTTAATATGCATATATGGCTTAGCACAGTGTATATAATAAACTCAGCTAATAAACAGAATAATGATCTCAAATGATGCTTCAACAATAGATGGTAAGTATCGTTACCTTTTGGCATCTTCATCTTGAGTACAAGTAGTATATATATATATATATATATATATATATATATATATAACATTTTATTATTAACAGTGTGGCGCATATATATTTGGTGCCCCTTGTACCAATATGTATGTGTTTAAATAAATAAATTATTAATAACATTCAATGAGAATAATAAAACTAATGGATGAACTTTGGTGGAATGGAAGTTATTTGCTTTAAATATAACTTGTTGGTTGAGTCAAATCAAAAATATTGGTAAAAGCTATGTATGGGTGGGTGTTATGTTAAATATAACAAACTGGAATGATGTATACTGAGGAACCACTAACTTACTTTGAATCAGCCAACAGACTTGGCCTAGATACAGGCCACTTGTAGGATGCAAATAAAAGAATATCTGCACAGCTGGAATTCATTTTATACGACTTTCGAGGATGGATTGTTTCTTTCTGGACAGTTTCAATTTCCAAAGCGTCAAGTTCCTGATCAAACACCTGACAAATGTCCATAACTACAGATTCATGAATTTTTTGCCACAAGTGAGCTCGGAATATCTGGATGAGTGAGATCTTCAGAGTTGGAATTTTGCCGTGCATAAAAATACCAGTTAGATCAAGTTGTACTTGGAAACCAACATAGACCTACAGTAAAGATCACAACATCAAGGTAAGTGTGGAATTAATGAAACGTTAAAAATAATGAGTAGTTATGAGTCATAGCACAAATAATAAGTCCTACGTTAGATTCCTCTAGATTGATGCAAATTACAAAAGCTGAATACTTCACGTCGAGATCCATGTAAAATAACGCAAAAATGCATACTGGAATCAAATCTAGGTTAATCAGTAAAAACAATATATCAGTCAGTCACAACGTAGAACTTCATACGTACGTACATCAGTTCGAGTTGCCATACCACATAAGGCACAGAGATGCAGTTTTCGATTCAAATCCATAATGGTAGAAGTAGTAAGAGTATAAGCAGTAATCGGAAAGATTAGGGTTTGAAGATGTAATTGAAGGAGTATAATCCAGTGAAATAAATTTGGAAAAAAAAGGATACAGACATGAAGAATTAAGAAGATTAGAATTTGGTAGAACACAAAGAGTGTATGCACCTTCGCCATTCAAGGTCTCTAACCATCGGTTGCTATCATCTCGCGAATCCCAACCAGATAGTCTACACCTACCAACACGGCCCAGTCCATTTGTCAGAGACTTCATGGATTTATGCCATGTTTTGTTCTGGCCGCCCCTAGCTTTCTTCCAACCTACCCCTACATCATAAAACATCGAACGTCGGGGCACTCGGTGGTTGGGCATAAGTAACACATGTCCCAGCCATCTCAACTGATGAAGTTTCACTACTTCATCAATCCATTTGCCATCCTTACCTAGTACCCGTTTCCTAACAACTGCATTACTTACCCGGTGGTCCCAGGATATACGAGCAATGCGTCGAAGACACCTATGATCGAATACTAGTAGCCTACGAATATCTTCTACTCTTATCGGCCATGTTTCACTGCCATAAGACGGAACGAACTGCTGCACAGTAAACCCGTCTTTTGGTTGCTAGACAGATATCTCGTCTACGCCATAAATGACGCAGGTTGGCGAAAGCTAGACGAGCCTTCTGTATCCGTGCTGAGATTTCGTCACACACCAGACCACAAGGACTGATGAGACTCCCAAGATAAGTGAAGCGGTTAACATGCTCAACTACTTTACTCCCTATTATTAGTTTGGGTGTCGATGCAACCCAATCCTGAAGCAGCATTTTGCATTTCGAGGAGGAGAATCGCATCTCGAAGATACGTTAACGATAATATTTCTAAACGCATAAAACGACAAATATATTTAAAATATCTAAATACATAAAGCTCAGTGGTTTAACCGGTATCAGTACAGGATCAAAGTTTAGGGTATGAGGGAGTTTTAAGTGAAATGTATTAGCCTTATCGCATGATCATGACTTATCTCAGAAACATGATCACCTCGAAGGCAAATTAATTAGTTTAGCTTTCCATATATGTACAACAAAAACAAATTTTGTAAATGCTGAACAGGAAAGCAAATTATTATACACGAAATCCTGTGCGTAGTATTCAGTAAAAACTCCAGAAACACTGATTATACAATAGTGAATATAATACACAATTTTACGTTGTTATATCATTTCCATACACTATAAACATAAACAGCATCGATAACACTACGGAAAAGTAATAAGAACTGAAAGAAAATGGTGAAACAACACAAGGAAAGTTGTAGTTCATTTGATCATACAACATGAGTAAAATTCTCACAATAAAAATAGTTAGCAAAGTGAAAAGGAAGCTCAAATAATAATATTTATGTTTATGGGAAAATAAATCTACACAAGAAACAACAAGTATAGTAAGGATTGTGGAAATTGTTTAATTTTCATAGTTTTACATCACAGACTGACCTTAAGTTAGACAACCATTGAAAATCAAGAAACAGCTGCTTCCTGATTGTCAATAGTTGTCTAAACTTAAGGTCAGTCTGTGAAGTAAAACTATGAGAAATGTAGTTTAATTGACTGATAGAATTTTGTAATGAAAAAGGGGTAGCGCAATCAATTTTAGAGGATGGAATCACCATTCAACTGAATAAATAAAAGTTAGAAACCAGTCGCGTTATGTACAAAAATTCAACCAAAGTAATGTCATTTATTATACAATGAAGATTACAAATAATTTAATGACTGTTAGCTTAGAATTTAAAGAAAAATAAAGAATGCATACAATTGTGGCCAATTTTGAGCCATGTATCTTAAAGATTTTCAACTACTGAACTACGATTATGGATGAAAGCAGTACAAATAAGTGTAATATCAAGTGGATTATCTTACAAACACCTAGTACCATAATTTTTATTAGTGTTACGTTATTTTAGAACTCTGTCAAGTATGAAACAATAGAAAATAAGAAACTATGTGCAAGTTAATATAAATGAAATAATTTCATCAATTACTATTATTGATAACATGAAAATTTAGCATTTTCTTTAAAAAAACAATACAACCAATGAATATGTTAAAATCGACTTATTGAATGCAACAGATAGAGTTACAAATAGAAACTGAAAAATACCAAAAGACAGAATAAAGCAATAGTCTGATGATTTTAAGGATTATTTTAAGAAAAACATTAAAATAAACATTAGTAGCATCAATATCCAAGATTTCTACATAGTTTAGTATGACTTTATGAGTATTGAAAAGAAAAATAAACCAAAGAGTGAGTAAAATAGAGGTTGAATAAAAACATTGAATTGTATCGAAAAGTCTAGAATCAAGTCCAATAAGACTGCACTACTATTACTTATATTATGAATCCGAGCGAAAGGGTGAGGAAAACTTATATATTGTATGATTCCGAATAGGTAAGTGGACTAATAAAGACGATTTATTAATGCATTTAAACTATGGTAAGCAATAAAAATTGGATGTACGTATTTACTACTAAACGGGATAGAACGAAGTGAGTGATCTTAAAACTAGTAATGGTTATTTACGGAAAACTTACATTAGCGCGATTGATAGTTGGAGACCACCATAATGTAAAGCGTCGATTAGGTATCTGATTCAACCCAGATCGCTGAGCGTTAGTCAACTTCTTGTACTTCATTGATTCTTCAAAACCACTGGCTTTTTCCCTGAAATTATAAAATTGTCATGTAGTGAAGTGCCACAAAAGACGACTGGATTGATTAATATATGTATTCTCTAGCTATAATTTCATGGGTAGTTTATTGAGTTTATTTCGATTTAGAAATTTGAATGAAACAAAGATTTAGGTACTCTTTGAGTATGAAAATAGTGTGATATTGGGAAAAATAAGTAACATATACTGATCAAACTATATATTATATTTGGAACTTACCAGAAAAGACCTTCCCATGTAGGGAAATAAGTTCCTTTAAACAAGGTGTGCTCCAAAATACCTTCAACACCACCTAGAGCCTGGATCATATCTGTACGATAGTTGTTCAAATTCCATAACTTTCCATCGTGTCTTTGATGTGTCCACCAAAATGGATTTTGCTTAAGAACTTGATATTGTTTGAACTCAGTTCGTACACGCCACCCCTTATCGTAAGCCAGTGTATGTCTGTCTTTTTGGAAAAGAGTATTAATCCGAGGAATACCGCGATCCCAACTGTCTTCTAGATCTTCCAACGTTAAACGTCTGAAATCAGTTATACAAACAAGATTTAAGAAATGTGGAAATCCCTAATTCTACAGAGACAGAACAAAGAAATCAGTAAATTAGCACTTGATTTGAGTAGGAACGATTGCTTGAAATCATCCACACTATATCGATTATTTGTACTGAAAATAATTTTCCCCATGTTCGGTGAAAGTAACATTGAAAAATCTTACGTTTGTAAAGTTTTCAGTCAGAAGACACTTCGAAAACTGATAATATATTTATATTGACAATTCATCATAAATACATTTACAACTAACTTTCACTTCAGTTTTAACCATGAACAATTTCTTTTTTTAACTCCTTTATGACTGAGGAAAAACACAGACAAGCTTTTTGATCTTCTACACAACAAAGTTTGCGAAGTAGGAATTCTTGAACTTAGGTTTCCACTAACGAATCAAATCGTAACTTCTGTCTGATATGGTCGGACAGGCTTGTGAATACAAAGGAATACATATTTTCGTGTGATAATTACTAGACCCTCTTAAATACAACTTAGATTTTAAACACTTACCTATTTTGAGCATTTGCTTCTTGTCGTTTTAACGCATATTCAGCCCAAACACTCTGGGAATCGCGAAACTCCGTCTCCCATGATAAGATGTAAGAGAACAAATTTGGAATAACCTGGTCCTCGTCATGACTCATGCCTGAACGAAAGTGAGTAATACCAACGTCAGTTTGTTTTGACCACCGTAAATCAGACTGTGGAATAAGAACGTGACCCATACTGAGCATACCTAAACCACCAAGTTCCTACGGAAACAAAAATAGTATTTTTTACTGAAGTATATAAAAAAAACAAGTATTTCATTCTTTAAGCATTTATGGTTTTTTTTCGAGAGACATGGATATTTTTTACAAACTTACTTTCGGTGTGTAAAAGACCACTGGAGGGAAACGAGCAGGCATTTTTGAGTTTAATCCAATTTTGATACGTGTTTGTATTTTGTTTTCGCACTTCACCAACAGATCCAATAATGCGACAGTGCTTACTGCTGCCTCGCGATAATAAGTCATTAAACCAATTAAAGCGGTATTCCATTTGTTCACGATTTTGGTGAAAGTTGTCGATCCGGAGGCCATTAAAATTTGTCTAACTCTGTTATGGAATCGTTGCATTGATTCATCATCCACTCGAAGGAAACATTGTGCTGTACGCTCTTTGGTTACCTAAGGAAGATTTAAAGATTTTAGTTCATGAAATGAACAAAGAAACAATAAGTGTATCAATAGTACGAAAAAATCCACTTTCAACTAATAAAAAGGAATACCTCGTTTTGTAGATGCCATACGCCACTTGGAAGATTGGCATCTGCGGCTTGACCAGGTGAACGACAAGATGGTAGAATACGACATTCAAACCCACACATTGCGAACAGTAAATTAGGGTTATCTTTGCTATAAACAGAGACGAAACTGCTGTCCCAATCAATTGTTGTGACGGATCTCGGCAAACGGTTCTTGATATCCCAAAAAACAGCACGACCAAGATTAACATCATGTTTCATTAAGCGCATTCTACTATCGCGTGGCCAACACTTTTTATTGTTGTAACCCACAATGTTTTCGTTATTTGGATCAGGGTGCTCTGTTAGGTAACGCTGAATGAGATCGCGAGCGTCCTCCGCCGAGAAACGGAAGAACATCCAAAAACGGTCTACATACCGACAATACAGTCGAATAGGATGGGAGATTTCTGTGGCAGTATCCTGTAAAAATTAATAAACAAAAAGCATTTCTAAGTTTGTTGATTTTACACACTTCTAATAAATGTAAGTAGAAAGCAATGTTGCCATCCTACCTGGAACTGAAGAAAGTCGTTTGGCATCTGAGGAGGACCGCACATCTCAGATGCTCTTTCGAGACCCAAAACTAGCAAGTCCAGTACAAGACCATAATACTGTGTAATAAAGGATGAAAACTGCAGACCGCGGATGATTCCGTAACTGTTAGTATGATTCATATCCTTGTAATTTATAACAACGTTATTTTTAGCAGTCATGTAGTCCGCAATATTGTGATCGACAATTAGTCTCAGGAGACGATTGAGCAATGTAAGGTCAATTTTCTCATAAACCTTTTCAAATTTCGTTTCCAACAAAACGTTACATTCACCCTCACCAGTCTCCCAAACGTCCTGCAAATCACAGAAAAAAGCTACATTAAAATCGAAGAAAAACTTTGAGGAAAATATTAAAACAGGAAAGAACTTAAAACTAGAATTCACAGGAAGCTAATGAAAGATAGGTTGATTCATAATTATTGACTAGAAAAGAATAAAAGAGTATTCGTAAAGAAGTCATTGCTATAGAACTAACAACTCAGAGTGATGTCAAACTTACTTTTAAGTTGTTAATACCCTGGCACCACTTGTATACAAGTAAAGGTGGAGGCTCCAAGTCAGCTGGTTTGATCCATGGAGGAAACAGGCGACGTTTATCAGCTTCATACCACAAATACTGATCCAAATAAGCATCTGTTATCTTCTCCAAGGGCTCAACATCATAGACAGGCACCAAATGACTGTAAAGATCCATGAATTCAATCCCAACTTCTTTGAAAGCCCTTTGAGTAAGTAAATGTCGCTTGATACGACTAAGGGCTTCGTGTGGATTATCATAAGCTTGCTCAATCAAACCAAGTTCCTCACGTTGAGATTGATTTAACCTGTTTTTGACACTATAAGATTCTCGAAGACGTTCAAGGGCGAGAATCAGTAACTTGGTATCATGCTTGTAACTTAGAGGTGGGAAAGGAATTGGTGAAAAGCGCCTACTTTCTAACCAATGTACAGTTGTTGTGTAAATGGCAACAGCCTCCTCTGCAGTTACGTAGGGACCATCCTGAAAAAAAAGAACGTATGCAGGAATAGTATGGTTTGAAAAAGTGGAAGTTCAACAAATAACTTCGTTTCTAAACGTCTACGTATGAGTAATAGGTTAAATGCAAATAACTTGCATACAAGTCAGTCAGCTACAACGTAGGACTAGGCACATATATGCATCGATTCAAGTTGTCATACCTCATTGGCACAAGATGAACATCGAATTCATAGAAATAGTTAATTTAGTGGCGGCAATATATAACAGAAAGGTTGTATATAAAAATATAGTACAGGAAGACAGATATGAAGCAATTATAATCTCAAGGTTTAAGGGAAGACAGATAGCGTATACACCTACGCCATTGTGATCGATTTTAAGCCATGTCACCTAGAGTCTCCAACCATTGGTTACGATAGTCACGCGGACCCCAACCAAGTAGTCTGCATCTACCAACATGGCTCAGACTAGAAGTTAGTGACTTCAAGCACTGATGCCACGTTTTAGTTTGGCCGCCCCTAACTCTCTTCCAACCATCCCCAATACTAGTCAGCATAGCGCGTCGTGGTAATCGGTGTTTAGGCATACGTAGCACGTGGCCCAACCATCTCAGTTGATGAAAACTTACAACCTCACCAGCTGATTTACCATCATTCCCTAATACCCTGTGTCTAACCTCAAAATCATTTGCCCGGTGATTCCAGCAGATGCGAGCAATATTTCTAAGGCATCTGTGGTCAAATACTAGTAGCCAACGAGTATCTTCTACTCTTAATGGATACGCATACAAGTATTTATTTATTTATTTTAATAATTGCTTAATATCAAATTTTTTCCCACTTTCTTGTTACTTAACATTGGAGCAACTCATAAGTACTAGGTGAGAACGAAACGTACCTTAAGATAATTATGTTGTCGCTCCTGTTCCGCTTTAAGATACAGTCGAGTTAAACGACCCAGATTCTTTTTACAAACAGTTTTATCAACGGTTGCACCTCGCCGAATGCGTTCCCGATTGTAATGAGCTGTATTAGTCCACCAGTCAGCTTTGGCTTTAACGTAACGTAAAATCATATTTTCAATAGGGATTGGCATATTTGGTACCTGAATGAATGAAGGAAAACAGGTAAAATGTTGGTCTGATTATTTGAAATATTACAACGCAAGGAACTCAATGTTAACGAGACTAAAATGTACTACATATGGATCAATTATTAGATTACAATAATCTGTATCATTGAACTCGTTATGCTGCATGGAACAGATGTCGTCTAATAGAGACAGATGTACATTGTCACTAAAATTTGACAATCAATTTTCGGTAGAAGCGTAGACGGCAAAGGTATCATTCAAATTCTGAAAATTGCATATTGTGATAGGAATGTAAAAGCTCACAACTCATGCAAGTCTTTAAACTGGTATTAGACTGCATGACAAATTATTAGGATGGCTCGGTAAGAGCCTAAACTGGTGACCTGGTTACAACGATTTTCCAATACTTTACCGATAACGTTGATTTGGGCCAATGATCTTAGAAACCTCTTGATGGAGACACATCGATAGGAGGGATGACGTAAAAAGTACAATGATAGCTACGGAGAAATCGGTAAATAGCTATTGAAATGCATCTAATTCATGTTAAAGGAGTGAAAATGGAAAGTTAGATGATTAGAACTGAATAAAATATAGACTACTTACTTTCCATGGTATGTTAGCTTTCCAACAACGCCATGCTTCGCCTAAATGTTGTAGAATAGTCCTAGCTTTGTTTTGTTTGATACCTTCGGGCATCATATCCAGTATGTCATGCATAACGGCGGCGCGCAGTTCCAAGTCATAGTGAGATTCAACTCGTTGTTTGGTAACAGTTTTGGCAACACCTTTGGAATGTCTTCCTTCAAATTGGCGTGATAAGAGATTTCCTAACCAACGCTCCAGTAATGGGGTTATGCCGCGCATGAAAAACAACCATACTCTCCATCCCGGTGCCCAGAACCCGACACCTGGGCCTTTACCCACTGGTCCAGTGTTGAAACGGTAGTAAATTACGTGTTTCAAATCCTTGCACATCCGAATTTGACGCATGAGTTTGTATTTATAACGGTACATTCCTGTTAACTGTCCAACGTGTGAGAAAATGTATTGGAGACCATCTGCCAACTGAAAATTAAGGAAAGCTATTACTGACAAAGATTACCAACCATATCAGTTATCAAATAATGGAAGGAACTCATATCAGTTTTGGCAATGTCCTAGCACAAAGTCAATGCTGAAAGCTACAGCCAAAGATTTTTGTACTATGTAGTCCACATTATGACCACATTCCGGACCCCTGCGTTTTCATCACAAAAGCAATACTACCAATAAGTACTAAGCTGACAAAAACCCCAATACTAATTAATGAAACAATATAAAGTTACCTGGAAAGCATCGACATTTCCCAAGCGATACTGAACATGGCTATCTACGATGAGCTTCGTTAAACGAAGTATCTCCCGACAAAGATGAAAAGCATTGCCGAACCGTGATTTCTTTCTTTCTTTGGTAGTTAAGGTTTTTACTGGTTTCAAGTTGAAGTTATAGTCCAAATGCAAGTAATTAAGATTTTTTCGATGAATAAGAAGGTTAAGCATGTTGTATCCCTGACGGCAAACTTGTAGTCCAACCTCTACCCAATCCAAACTAGTAATTTGGAAGAACTTAGTAGCTTTGAAGGAACGAAACAAGTAACGTTTCTTCTGAGGCTTTGGTCGACGGTGATGTAGGGCATTAAGAACAAAATACTTCAGCAGCTTTTGGTAAGAAACACGAACCTGTGGAAAGAATGATTGAGTGGTAAAGCAAGCTTACTTTTACAGGCATACCAGAAGGACAATGCTCTCTGTACCAAGCTTTGACTAAAGGAATATCAATAGCCCGTCTTGTAGACCCTGATCTTAAGCAAAATGGCCTTGGAGCCCACAAAAGAGCAATGCCGTTTGCTGTGTTATCACTGTACAGAGGAGTTTCGGCAAGAAACGGCTGGAGTCCTTCGGGAAGTTCATACGTTTCATCGTCATCTGGTTGTAACTCTGGAGCCTGTAAAAGAATGTGACGAAAAAAAGATGGGTTTACCTTAACACCTTGTCTCTGGGATATGGGGTTAATCAGAGGATCAAAATAAAAAGCTGGGAGATCAGGATCTTCGGTTTTAATGAAAAGTACATTAGGAGTGTGATACCATGATAAATGAACTTGAAACGGATAACTGTTATAAAGATAGGGGAATGCTATTCGGTATTCAGTACGAATAGGTTGACGAATGATGATCTTGTTGATATCATTAAATTCATTCCAATCCTCATCCCTATGGACCAAAACATTAGTAAAAAAAACACATTACTCTAAAGTTTTGTCTTTGACCAAGGGTTCAAACTTCGGACCTCCAGGAAGAGCAACGTTCAGGGCTTTAGCTGTGAAGAATGACTTGAGGTCAAACAAATAAAAGTAATTGTCATCGACAAGGTCAGTCAACAAAGAATTGGCCAGACGATAAAGGTTGGACATTATGTTCAGAGGTAGGTTCCAACGTCGGTAAGTAACGCCGTTAACGTACCTACGAAAGAAAGCGATACAATAGACGTAAATTTTCATGTTATCCATATCAGTATTCAGAAAGAAGCGTAGATACCATTAAAGTGTTATACCGATCGATGGCGATTTCTCAACTAATTTTACTCCGGTATACATTAATGAATGTTTGGCTAGGCCTAAGAATTCCATACTGTACTAAACATATAACGTCGAATAGACTTGTCATCACCATTGCTTATGGAATCCTTTACGCGTTTACAGTTTTTGCAAAGTTCTTTTTAAAGTATTTGGGTACCACAAGAGAGATTTATAACCAACATCTACACGCTAGTACTAGCAGTAATAGACCAGAAATGACACAAAGCATTTTAGTCAGTCTGAATATACACGTCTAATACGGAAAAGGTACATATTCACACGCCTAGAACTCACGATATAAATTATGCGAAATAAAGACTTACTTTGATTCCACTAGGGGATTTCTTTCGTAAAACCATTCAATAATGGTAGCATCTTCTTCCGGATCTAACTCCAATTGTATTGGTTCTAGAGGCTCTACGTCAAGTATATTGTCGGCATAATCAAGCGGAGGCTCTTCATCATCGAAAGGTGGGAATCTCATACGTTTAAAATGACGACGATCCCTTTTTTCACGACGCATCATGATCCACATGCTACCCCACTGAGCAGCGTAGATTGGTTCAACGACCCATGGTATTTCGTTAACAAATGTTATGGCCCCGGTGATATGGTACAGTACTTTGACATCTCTGATTTGTTCCCAAGGCATAGGCATGTTTTCTAACAATTTCAACACTGCATGTGGCATATATTTCAATGCACCGAGATACACGCGTTTGTCATGCCTAAACTTCCTATTGGTCATGTCGCCGTGGTCTCTGATGATTTTACGAACATGCTCTGGTGGCATTTCGTCCTTCTGAGTTTCTACGAAGCCAAACTTGCGTTTTTCCGAGAACTTCTTTGACTGAAGTTGTTGCCATTCTCGGGCTGAGGTGAAAAAAACGCCATGTTAGTCACACGAATATCACCACCTTAAGCAATCGAATAAATGCTTACCTTTAGCCGATGGTAACATTCTCAAAGACAACGAACAACCTAAGGGCGAAAATACGTACGCGCCTTGATTGGTCACTAACCGACTCAAACAAATGGATCAAATGGTTGTGGACGGAATAGAAAAAGTTTTCGTTTAACGGGCTTCCGTGTCTAGTAGTACTGGATCACCAATACCTCTAGGCAAGAACCTAGGTATATTGACGATAATAGAGGAAAAAAGAAATTGGTAAATCATAATAATATGTCATCCTTAGTCCTTAAGAATAGGTCATATTTCCTCTTAAAGGACTCCTGCGAAGTCGCTTGGACCAGCTCATTCGGCAGCGAATTCTAGCACTTGACAACTCTTAAGGAGTAGAAGTTGTGTCTACAGTCCGTTCTGCTATGTTGGGTCTCCAGTTTCTGGGTGTTACCCCGTAGGTTAGTATTGTGACTAAGCTTAATTAGATGTTTAATGGGATGACCAAAAATGTTAGGGATATTGTAAGTCATAAGAAGGTCACCTCTAAGACGCCTATACTCTAACGAGTGAAGATTGAGTGATTGGAGGCGCTTGTAGCTGTAAATAAGTCCCCAAAATCAATAGCTCTTTAAGTGTTCGACATTGGATGCTGACCACATTGTTTTAAGTGGACTTGTTTAACTGAAGGCTTTCGGTCATGCATCCGTACCAGATCACGTTACGACCCAGCGCGGGACACAGCTCCTACGTTCACTAGCCAGATTAGAGTAAACGCTTCTCGATATATTGATAACGTACCAAATACATCTTTCCTACCCCTTCACATCTGACTTCTGGTTTTATCTAATTGGGGAACGCTTCGAATACAGAAGTGTTACTGGTTGCTAGTTGCCAAACTAGAATACTGGTCGTATCTTCAAGCTCTTCGTAAGGTTTGAATTTGAGTCTTTGGACTGATTTCGTGGCTCGACGTTGAATACGTTCCGGAGTGTCCACATCCTTTTGGAGAGGGGGAGGAAATACTGTTTCCATAGTCTAAATGGGGACGAAGATTATGTGGAAAGTTCTAACGTCAAACTGGCCAAAATGAGCTCCAATGTCACCAGTGCAAGGGTTGCTCGAAAGGCGTTTTTGTCATTTAATATACGACTTCAAGTCGTCGGGTACCAATACTCCTAAATCTTTTTCGACTTGGGATACTTCTAGAGAGGAGTTTCCTAAGTTGTAACTATAGTCTGCAACATGTCGCAGATGGACTATTTTACAATTTGAAGTGTTGAAAGCAAGTCCGTTGTTGTCTGCCCAACTTTGAAGTCGAGTCAGATCAAACTCTACATGCCATCTCAAATTATTTCTCTCAACCACCTATAGGTGCCTCGAGGATTTTAGACAAATGGCATACACTTTTCTGAATGTTGATTTACTCCAATCTTGTCTCCGGTTCATTGGAAACCTAATTTTGAAACCATACTTGAAGCTTGTACGAAAACTTCGAACTTGAAATTTTATTGGACAGAAATAACGAAGTGTTTATTTATTCGTATATGTGCTCAAATTAGCGAAAGGCTTCCTCGATGGGGAAGGTATATAACTTTTATTTTAGCTCCACAGAAACTTAAAAGGATAAGAACTTTAGCTAATAATATGAGTGTTCGTAGAATAGTGCCTGGAGTAAACCTCTCAGTAATCAAATAGCTAAAGTAAATTTCGAAGCGTATCTCGGAAAAAAATTAGATGTCACCACTATTGCTCTCATAGGCAAAGTACGAAGTTCACCAATTTCAATCATTAAAAAGTTAACGAGTATTCTTCTTTGCATGCTACCTCGGGCTTTGTTTTGAAGCGACTCCCTTTTAGGTATACAGTATAGCATCGTGATCACATATCTTCCCGTTCTCCCACACTTCCAATGTACCAGTTCAAGAGTCAATAGGTGAGTTATTCAGGGTTTGTATCATTGTATAAATATCTTCCTGGTGACTTTTTATAAGTAAACACGACATTATGTTGTCATATGACTTAGCTAGAAAGCCCAGACATATCAAAATGGAACTTTTAACGGTCGCGTGGGTCACTCGATGACAAGAATATCAAGTATCCAAATCACTCAAATCTATATGTGAAGTTCGCTTGTGCTGACAATGTTAAAGATGTTTTTACTGTCTAGTTATTTGAGTAGATTTGAAGATGCAAAAACGTTCCAGGATATACTATATTCGGCGGGCAGCCTCATCAGAACTGTATCATAGGAATTCCGAAAAAGGCTCTTCAGTATAAGAAACGAGTATTGTGCGAGAAATTCCGGAACACCTTGATCTTGAGGTCGAATACTATGATATTAAATGATGGACGTTCGTAAAATAGCCCCTAAAGCTACAGAGTACTTCATTCGGTTCATTTGAATCAGGGGGTCTAGAACCCAGTTTATGAGGGCCACCTCCTCATTCTTGAGTGGCGGATGCCATTCTCGGGCACCTGGTGCCCACAGACGTTAGTTACCATCCCGAGTCCACTTGTGTCCGTACGGACCACGATGTTTGTTTTAAACACAGGAATGAGTTGGAGCATTTTATTCTATTCGTGGACTTACAGGAGTAAAAATATGGGAGGAGAAAGGACCACCAGTAGTTAGATATCACTGAGCCTTAGATGAATCCACCATTCCCATCCGACTCTGGCAGACGACCGTCCACATATATAATCTATGTTGGCTATCTACGCAATCAGTGGGAAAGCCCTAATATGGTTTCCAGGGCACACACTGCGATTCGCCGTTCATATGTATGTCTTCATGTGTGCAAGATTTTCCTCATGCATGCATTGCCAGCAGTAGCATTTCTTTTTCACCTTCCTAACACAGAATTTCACAGATATTACTCTCAATATTTAAGTATGCTTTGTCTATTTTTTGGTTTATCTGCAGCACTTACCAGCGAATGGTCCACAATTTATAAATTGTGACCAGCCCTTGGATGTGATTGAAAATATCAAATTTTATTTTACTTAATATTGTCTCCTGACGGTTGCCATATTGGATTATTGATCTTCAAATGCTTTGTGGCTCATTTCTCGTTGGTTAGGAACAATTTTATTGGCAACCGATAACTAGTTGTATAGCTATTTTTTCTTGTGTATTTCTTATTTCACAATTTATTGCTCCTTTTTAGAGTAAATTAGATCGATCTAAACTTTTTATTTGGATGCAATATTGTTTTTTTCACTGGAATATTCTCAATCCTGTGGCATGGAGGCGGTCAATATTTTTTATCGATTTTAATCACTTAGTGTTCCTCAGTTTGGTTTTACTAAGTGTTGTTGTAGTTAACCTCTATACATGCTAGGGGAAGTATTGTTCATGTATATTCTGTTTTTTTATCTATATCCGGTCATCTAGTGCCAAAATTTATTTTATCTTAAACAGCTTTCTTCGTTACCGCACGAAAATTATCTTCAATTGTTGTTTTTTAGTATACTTAAACTGAGTTGTGTCAGTGAACTATTCTCAATCCATGCACATTGGTAAGACCACGAATTCTGGATTTTGCATTAACAAAGCTCATCTAGACAAAGAAAACGAGAAAATACATCCGTTACAAACAGAAGATGTTAACTCCTAACATACAAACATCATGCATTTGTCAAATTAAATGGGTGAGATACATGATGTAAGTAATTCAACTCAATTTATTGCTATAGAAACTACCGAAACCTAGGCGTCTTCCCAAATCAGGGGCCGGCAAAATCTGACTTGCCTTTGTTTCATAGCGACAGGAAAACAGAAACGTAAATGAGACGACCCCTATACTGAAATCCTGCCTGCTAGCACACCAAGTGTATACACAAGAATTTACTAATCTTTTTCAGACTCATGTGAAGGGATCAACTTACACAGCAAAGTGAGTAGTTTGAATTGAGAGCAGAAACATTACTGTTGACACTCGGTAAGGCAATCAAATACTAACTTAGCTCGTTCCTTCCCTCTTGAGCATATATGTCAACCTTGGGAGACTTCAGTTTTCACGAAGTCGTATTCGCTGGACGCATACAACGGAGATAACCCCGCCGAAGCTCGGGTTTTGTAACTCATTAAAGAAATAAGATTATTCACAAACGCAGGGTTATTGATGGTGTATGACACAGTCAGATGTTGCTACGCCATGACGGTATCGAGAAGCTCCTGATCGATGATTTGTCAATCCTGGCTTCTCTAAGAAAAGCTACCACGCCGTCATTGGGCTACTTGATTGTGAGATCGAAAAAAAGCTACTGGGGACAGCAGTTGAGACTTTAAGCGTCCGGATGTACCAGCTTTAAAGGGCAAACTAAAGAAGATATATTGAAAAGTATTTCCTCAGTTTGATATAGGCTTCGCTTAGATTTCTTACTTCACGCGATCCTACGTGCTGCAAACTGATCTGTTTGGGAAATGGGCCTTAAGAGTTATAATCAACCTAAGATCACATGAGATCACATTCTTTGAGCGGTGAAATTAGAACAGATACTCTTGAATAGAATTCTAACGTACCAGCAACAATAGCACATATAGGGAGTTCCAACATGCTCGGAACTAATACACAAAGGCTCAATGAGAAGACAAACGTCAGTATAAATAAAGATCTGGTCATTACATATTAATCTACCGTTTTCACACTCCCTGAGCCAAGGAGTAATTTTAAGAAACTGCAAGCTGACATCATAACCGGAGAAATACCCTGGAAAACCCTTCAGAATGCTTTGTTGAACAGTATTGTTGATTTAACAGTCGAATTAATGAGTTGATCTAGGCTAGACCACCAATGAGAAACTGAAAGAACTGGAAAGCCACGTCAGGTGTGAGAAATATATCTGTGGGAATAGTTAGAATAGACTTACTACATAATCGGCTTTTGCTGTTATTTACATTTCTCTCACTAATCCTCATAATTTGTACAACTACTATTATTGGCTGTAGACTTGTTCTTTAGAAAACGCGACCTTCGATTTTCTGTTTCCGAATACCCCTTAGCGTGAAACATTGATTATCATTTACAAATGCACTGTCGCATTCACATGCTTCTTGTTCTCAGCTATCCGCTGTTACGATAACAGAACTCTAATACATTTTCTATCTATATCCACAGACCAGCTT